ATGGCATCTCTTATGTAAGTATAAGATGCTATTTAGGTATAAAAATTCAGAATTAAAAAGAGAACCTTTATAAATGTAAAGTAGAAGAACTAAAAAATAAAACTACGGGCCTCCCAGGTGGCTCAAGGGGTTAAGACGCAACCTATGAAACTATCCGCAGCCACTACAGCATGAGTTCGATTGCGGCCAGGAAGCAACCCACATGGCGCAGCAGACCCCTCCTGACTAGCCTGCTGCTCCCCTCAGCAGTCTATTTCAGTCAGTCTGCCTGTTGTGTTCCCCTCTCTGTCTCTGGTGAATCCTCTCACCTCCATACCTCTGGCCTACACCCCAGTTCTTGTATGCATAAATAAATAAATCTTTAAAAAAATTAAGATTCTGGGCCTCCCCGGTGGCGCAGCGATTGAGCGCTGGATTGCGAAGCTGCCCGCAGCCTCTAAGGTGCTGGTTCGATCCCTGGCTGCTCCCCGGCCACCGGAGGAGGGTCCCACATGGCGCGCAGACCTCTCCTGCCACCCACTGCTCCCCTTAGCAGTGTACTTCGGTCCTTCTGCCTGCTCTGCTCCCCGCTCTGGCTCTGGTGAATTCTCTCACCCTCCCGCGCTTCTGACTATACCCAGTGCATGTATAAACAAAACAAACAAACAAATAAATAAATAAACAAACATGCCTCTATTTAAAAAAAAAGGCTAAAAAAAAATTAAGACTCTGGAGTGACGATGCTAGGATAAAAGGATTGTGATAAGTGCTGAATAATTTGAGTGCAGAGGTAAGACTAAACATCTAGAGAAAATATGGCTTCCAAAAGCTGTAAATACTATAAACCCTGACAACATAGAGATAATATAAGCCACCCAAACTGGGAGTTGGTGTGTAGAAGTTGAGAGGAAGTATAATAATGTTAAATTATCTCATTTTGCCGAGTAAGTAGTCAGTTGCTCTATTAAACAAGAAATATGGGATCTTCTGATTTCCTCTTGTTTATATATTTTCTTTGCCCATGTATTTCGGTTATTCCTCATATCTTTGCTGACTTCCCTTTTATATTTTTTTAACCAATGTGCATTGAACATTAATCTACATAAACTGAATACTTAATAAATGCTTTTGAAGTAATTTTACAGATTGCATGGTACTGTAAATTCTATGAGTATTGAGAATATGTTTTATTCATCTTTGAATTCTCTCAGCACCTGGCACAGGGACTTGCACATAGTAGACTGTCAATAAATATTTTTGAATAAATGAATTAATTTGCTTTGTTTCATATACATTTTGTTGCTAGAACAATGTCTGAAGACAAGCTGGAAATATAAGGAAAATGAACCGTAATTGGAGAATATAATAAAGCCTGTCACCCACATCTGAGAAATCTATTATAAATGCTTTTGATGCCTCATTAAAGACATTCTATTACTTTCTGAATACATTTTCCCTGAGTAAATAATCTCCTCTTGCTCTAATTTAATCATTCACACTGTTATCAAAATGATCATTTCCAAATCCTGTCACTTCTCTGCTTAAAACCTCCCATGACCCCCTTCTGTCTCTACAACAGAGCTCAAATTTCTAAGGGTTGCATTGAAGGTCCTATATGATCTGACCTCAGTCCAGCTCTTTCTAGTCAGTGCATCCCATATGTTATCAGTCCAGGGGTATTTACAATTTGGAACATGTTATGCTCGTTTGTACTTCTATGTCTTTGCTTTTGTAAAGTGTTACTCCTCATCACATATTTGCACCCATCGTGATACTATTCCATTTCTTAGAGCCCAACACCAAAGCTTTCTCCATAAGGCTTTAACATCTCCTATTTTTTTTTAAATAATAAATTTTATTTTTATATTCCCCATACAATTGCAACCCTCCCATTCTGACCCCAATCCCTCCCCTCCCGCCCCCCACCCAAAAGTTTCTCTGGTTCATAGTTTTTTGTTGATTTTGATTTTCACTTTCTTACAATTATTCATTTTCCTGGTCCCTTATTTAAGTTTTCTAGATTCCTGCTATGAGTGAGACCATCCGGTATTTTTCTTTTTCTTTCTGGCTTATTTCACTGAGCATGATCCCTTCCAGCGCCATCCATGTTGCTGCAAATTGCATGTGTTTATCTTTTTTGAATGCTGAGTAATATTCCATGGTATATATGTACCACATCTTCTTGATCCAGTCATCTATTTTTGGGCATTTGGGCTGTTTCCAAAGCTTAGCTATTGTAAATAGTGCTGCTATAAACATAGGGGTGCAGGTGTTCTTTGGAATTGATGTTTCTGTGTCCTTTGGGTAAATACCTAGGAACATCTCCTATTTTTAAATAGTAGTACCATTTGTTGTTCTCTTGAAGCACTTTTCTCATGCTCCATGTATTTTTTTTTTTAGATTTATTTATTTTTATACAAGAACTGGGGTACAGGCCAGAGATGCAGGGGGTGAGAGGATCCACCAGAGACAGAGTGGGGAACAGAACAGGCAGGCTGACAAAATACACTGCTGAGGGGAGTGGTGGGCGAGGTCTGCTGCACCATGTGGGATTCTCGCTGGCTGGCTGGGATTGAACCCACACCCCAGAGACTGCTGACAACCTCACAGTGCGGTGCTCAACTGCCTGCGCCACCGCCGCCTGCGCCACCACGGAGGCCCTACATGTATTGTATTATAGTATTGACAAAAATAAAAGCCTGGATGATAATTATCTGTGAAAACTGCTCTAATTCCTGTACATTTGAGTTCAGTTTATATCCTTGTTAAAGAGTTGCGTACCTGTAAGGGAAGAAAAGGAACGGTGAGTTATTGATGTCAATGATCCTGATTAGTAGGCTTGAGAAAAACAAATGTAAACAAAGTTAGATTTTATATGAGCTCTTTCTTTTTAGTTCTTCTTGGTCTTCTGCTCTTGAGCTTTGTGAAGCATACATAATCAGAAACTTTTTGCTTCACAAAGTGTTCTGTATTAGGGAGAGTTTGAAGCTCTTTTGAGATATCATGCATAAGCATGGATGAATATCCAACTGGTCTTTCAACGAAGTGAGTATATAAACTAATATGATATTCTTAGGCTGAGCAAGAGTGTTACCTAACACATTGGCATAACAGCCATAATCTCATTGCTGTTGATTACATCTGTGGTCATATTTTGTAAAAAGACTGAACTCAGTTCCATATAGCTTTTCTGGATTCATGGTGCTTAGACTTTTTTATTCTAACAGCTGCTTATTTTCATAATCTGTTAAAGATAATACCCTACCATTGTGCTACTGAACTTCTTCTAGGTTCTTGGACATTTTTCTCTTTCTCTTGTAGATTCCATCAGCAAATAGCCTTCAACAAAAGTTCTGCCTGCCTGAAATTTTTCATTGTTTTCTCCCAACCACACAAAAAAGCTGAGCTTTGTAGAATATTATCTTGGCATATTAATAATTTTATTGTCTCCAAGACATTCCTGAAATTCTTAGTTTCTGTACAAATCTTTCCCTGGAATTTAGTGTAAAATATCTATCAATTCCATTTAATTCATTCAACAAACATTTAGTAAATACCTACATGTTGCTGGCACCAGGCTACCTGCTTGGGCTACAAAGTAGAGGAGTTTAAGTCTGGTTTTATGGTAGCATATTTGACTCGCTAATCTCCTCTAATGGCTACTGAATGCCACGAAGGAGAATGCAGCTAGTCAGGAGAGCAATTCAGGTTGTGCAGCAAATAACTGAAGCGGGTAGGGGGGGCATGGAGAAAAAAAATGTGGGAGAAATATGGGAATCAAAAGACACTAGGGAAGAAGCATAATTTCAAGGTGGGATGTTTTTCTAGGTTAATGCAGAATTTCAATTTTGTTATGTGTTCTACTACCTACAAACAAGAACAGTGTAAATGAAAATAGGAGATTCTGCATATTTTATTATTTTTTGAATAATATATTATAGCATTAATATTCTTTGTTGATATGGTTCTTTAATAGTTTCTTCCATCAAAAAATCAGAAGGGAGGCTATTAGGACTAAGTGAAGTTTTTTTGTAAAGAATATGAGGTGGTTACACGTGGGATCACAAAGGAGAGATTTTTTTCAGGTGGTTTGTTGAGGAAGTCTAAAGACGTGCTAATTCTAGTTCTAAAGGTAGAAGGCAAGAATCCATTGCTTCCTCTGCTCCACGCCAGAGTCGCCTCCTTTTGTCTTCTGAAGATAAAAGGAGGCAAAGGGTGTTAAGAGTGAAAGGTTTGGCTAGGGGGTTAAACACGGGCGCTTAAGAACCTCTGGGAACCCTGAAGCTTTTACTAAAGTAGCTTCCCTAAGACAGATGTTCGCCAAAATAAGAGGACGGGAGCAGAGATGTCCGCAGGGCAGATAAGGGCACAGTACAAGTGGGGGCAGCCGCCTGGTCCGGAGCGGAAGGTGCCTCCATTCTGCAGGTGCAAGGGATTTTGTGATCTCGGACCACCCGGGCTTCCGAAAGGGAGGGAAACAAGGCGTTGCAGGTGTGGGACTCGGCCCCTGAAGCAGAGCCCAATGCATTCCAGGCGGCAGGCACCGCTCCAGCCGGGTGCCCACACCTGACTCCGGGGAGGGGATACAGCGTCCACGAGAACCGCAAGGAGAATAGGAGCCCCTCGTTTGGGACGCCAGAGGGCCGGTCCCGCTAGACTGGAGCCAATTGCTTTCTCTTGATTGCCTTCCCCACCTGTCCTTCATCACAGCGCGCTATTTTTATTGGCTCTACCGTCTGCCACTCGGTTCCGCCGCGCTGACCCCCATTGGCCCCCCTCCGGCCGAAGCCCCGCCCCACGAGCTGGGCACGGGCAGTGGGGCGCGGAGGAGCGCGCCCAGCGCTGGCTCTGGGCTGGGGGCAGGCGGTGGCGGCTGAGCAGGAGGAGGCGGAGAAGGCGCAGGGCCAGCGGGAGGCGGCGGCGACCCGGCTGGGGTGATGGTGCAGGTGCCCGGGGCCGCCACGGAGCTGCCCGGCTGAGGGGCGCCGGGTCCGGGGTCCGCAGCGCCGCCGCGTCTCCCTGGGGCTGGCGAGCGGGCGGGAAGATGCTGAGCAGGTTGATGAGCGGCAGCAGCAGGAGCCTGGAGCGCGAGTACAGCTGCACGGTGCGGCTGCTGGACGACAGCGAGTACACCTGCACCATCCAGGTCAGTGCGCCGCGCGCGGAGCCGCCCGCCGCGCCCCGAGCCGGGCCGGGGGCCCTCCGCCGCCGCGCGGCTGCCCTCCGATGCCGGGGCTTTGTCCGCCCCTGGCTGCGTCGACGGCCGGGGCCAGGGCGCCTCCGCCCGAGCCCCTGCCCGAGGTCGAGCTCCTGGTGCGGGGCGAGTCTAGCGGGGCGCGTCTAGCGTCCCGGACCCCCAACTCTTCTGCTGCCTCGCCCGCAGGGAGGGCGCTCCAGCCTGGCGCCTCGAGCCTGCTCGGGCGGGGAGCGTGTTGAGCTGATGTCCGGCAAGGGGGGACTGTCAAGCAGGGCAGGAGGCTCCTAACCTGGCCGCCCCTTCGGGAGCCGGGGCGGGGGGCATGGACGCTCCGGCCGGGCAGACAGTGGCCGGCTGTTCTTATCTTTCTTCGCTTGGAAGGATAATGGTGTGTGTCATAATCTCACCCCCCCCCTCACCCCCCCCCCAGCATTTGTGAGTCAGAGCTCTCTGAAGGTAGAACTGAACGCGCAGCCCATGCAGAGTGGCCTATTGAAGCGAGCCCAGCCCTCTGAGCTTCAAAGATTTCGAACCCCCCTCCCTGCCTTTCACTCCCTCAAATCTTATTGTGTTGGGCAATTTAGGAGGGGCCCGAGGAAATAATTTAGCAACAAGTCCCGGCGATTTCAGGTTGGTGGGAGCGAGAAAGAATCGGTGGCTTAGGAAAAAAAAAAAAACGCCAACAATACGATCCTGCTGCAGAGCCTTTTTTGAGGACCCTGTGTTTGGAGCAGGTCTTTCCTACCTCTTGCTCATTATGTTCCTTCGCTGCTGCTGCGTGGCCCCACAGGAGTAGTAGTCTTTCTTTCCCAGGAATGCAGTCACAGCCCGTCTCCTCCTTTATAAAGTCAGATAGAAAACATTGACAATGCTCTGGCGTTTAGTTCAGCAGCCGGGAGGATCCTGAGCTCCCTGCCGGAAACTGCTCTTTCTGGAGAAGCAAATTGAGTTGGAGCGGGAGCGGGCTCACCTGATCTCTCGTCTTTGCAACGAGAAGCCAGAGGGGGCTTCTCGCCTCAGAAGTGGCAAACAAAAACTCTTGGCCCGGGTCCTATCCTCTTTGTCTCCCTGCTGCCCTGCCCCCCACCCCTTTTAATTTTTTTTTTTTTTTTTTTTTTTTTTTTTTTTTGCTGACAGTGTTCAATAGCGGAAAATAGCGGTGTGTGAGAAAGACGCCGGGTAGTGGATGAGAACAGCTGCTCTCTGCTGACTCTGTGCTCTGTTCAGCCTTCTCTCCACTTTCCCTTTTCTCCCACCCCTCAAAACTAGCTCTAGGCGTTTAAGTGCTGACTGCTGCCAAAGCTCCAGGAGCATAGGGAAAGGGAACAGAATCTCTTTTTAAGGCAACTTAAATACAGATTAAGCAGTCAGGATGCTAGACATTAAATGAAAGGATTTTTGCAGTTGAGTATGATGGAGATGTTAGGTGTTTTTCCTTATTGTGTGAGTGGGATACTACTTTTTGTTCTATTGTATCTTTTATGTGTCTTGTACAGTTTGGGTTTTTTGGTAGGGGAGGAAGATACTTGATTGAGTTGACATCACCATTTGAATACGTTTGCTAGAGCTTTTGAAGCCTTTATCCTTTTGTTTTAAAATTTAAAGCATTTGTACAATGGCATATCAAGGGCAGAGTGAGATTTAGATTTCATGAATCATAAAAATGCTTTTGGGGTATGCAATGAAATAAAATTTCTGAGGCAGTTCATTAACTTTTGCTGAGGTACAGACTATGACTGAAACAATTCACTTTGTCACTCCACTAATGATAATCTAATGGTTTTAAGGTATTAACTCCAGCAACTCGTTATTTATCTAAGTTAGTGGAATCTTTGAGGTTGGCTGATTGGTATTCTAGTTGTGGGTTTTTTTTTAACATTGAAAAAATGATATTTTTAAGTTGGGCTTACTGGATCTATACTTGCAATAGTCTGCTATGGTTTTGTTTATTTTCCTGCTGGACTTATTTTAAATCATTACAACGAATATGATAAACATTTAGACCGCTTTAAAAAATTAACCTTGGTGTATCATGGCCATACTAAAATAAGTGTCCATTGTCTAGACCATTGATGATTGTGTGAAATTAAAAAAAAAAAAAGGAATTGTAAAGCATATGTAATAATGTCATTCATTGGCACCACTATTGTGAATTGTTTTTGTTTTTACCCATGTGAGGAAATGTTAGAAAGGACAGTATGTTCTGTGAAATTAGTATTTTGTGTACATAGCTGCTTTTGTCCTTTAGAGATTGGACTTAACAACTTTCCTCCACTGTACAGTTTCATCGTTTGTGCGTGTGTGCGTGTGTGCATGTTTTTGCTTATTTGACAAACCCTGGGCACAGGGTCTTTTAAATCAGTATGAAAAAGAACTGTGAGCTACTTATTTGGCTAAACTGATATTCCCAACATTTTAGTACTTGCAGTACCATATATTAAAATTTCTTTGGTGATAATTTCAATTCCCTTTCCCTAAAGTATTGTATGTCATGTTTTTGTTTAAATCTTTCTATTTTAGGAAGATTTCAGTGCTTCTTGAGATAATCAGAGGCCAATTACGGTATTATAGAATCAGTGGTGTATTGCTAGGTTAGACTCATAAGAGCCACATTTGATAAATTTTCATTATAGAAAATTCTGTAAAGTATTGACTAACCATTTATATTGCAGCTGGTATACTGATTTGGTATTTAGGATGTTATTAAGGTAGCAAAAATGTCTTACATTCTCTCAAGATTGCACAGTTACTATTTTTTTCATTCTTTCTGATATGTAGATGTTTTGTAAACCATGAGAAATGAAAGTATACATAGGAGGGTTGTAGTATAATTATTCCCATGTGAAGAATAGTTCCCTGCCAGTTTTGAAGGTCATTGCTTTATAAATGCTGATGTGGTCCATATTTTTTACACATCATTTCATTTATGCAAATCTATTTACCACATTTACTCCCTTATTTTGTGATTTTATTTGGGAAAAAATAGCAAAAATGAAAAGGCTACATAGTATCTTTGAACTCAACAAATGGAGTCATTCAAATGCTTAGGCATTTACTAGCCTAAGCAATAGATTTTTTAACCTTGAGGTTATAATAGTTTATGAAATATTAAGAATATATGCAGATTTATCAGCAGAAGTATATGTTGAAAACTACATAATTTAAACTCAGAAATCTTAATTTATCTTTTTTGGTGATTACTGAAAAGTTGTACTACCCTAGAAATGAATTTGAGTTTTACTGGGAACACACTAAAATAACAACTCGTTAAGCAACTAGGTTAAATTGATTTTTGCAGTTAAATTACATACTACCATTAAAAAAAAAAAAAGTGTGCAGAGGCAGTAATATAGATTTAGATTTGATTGTGGCACAGCCACTTAGTAACTGTGGGACTTAGAGTTAAGGAAGGTATATGGAGGAAGGATACAAATGTATTTGAGCCTTGTACTTCCAGACAGTCTACCAGTGTTCTTATCTCATTTACCTTACAAACTTTATAGATTGTCTGTGTACGCAGTATACCATCTGAGGAAAATGGGGTTGTAGTTTTGTGGGAGAGCCTATGTTTGTTCAGTGGCTATGTACTAGCCTTTCTTCTAGGCACTTTACCTATGCTTCATATCAACCCATTTGAGAAGTAGGTGGGATTGTCCCTGTTTTACAGAGGAAAGGCCCAGATGAAGGAACTTGCCCAAAGGTACTAGGTGGATGTATTATATTTAAATGCTGATGTTTTTATCTATAAATTCCATCTTCTGGGATCTCTAAATCATTCTATCTGTTCTGACTCCTCAACAGAAATCTTATTCCTTAATTTCCTCATCTATAATATGGGAGAATCAATACTGTTTGGAGAAAATTCTTTGTAACTATCATTACAGGTAATAAGAAAAATTTAAATAGACTACTACGATTACATCATCCCTTATTTTGTTCAACCAAAAAGTAGAATTTAGGAATGTTTTATGTTTTTTAGGAGAATATATCAGTTTAACTTTTCAGTCTTGAAATTATTTCTGATGAATCTCAATGAAATTACAAAATCCAAGACAGATAACTGGATTCATCATTAGGACTCTTCTTTTTTTTTTTTTTTTTTTTTTAGTAACAAGGTAAGGGGTGGGGAAATTTACTATTTTATTTTTTAAAAAGATTTATTTATTTATTTATACAAGCACTGGGTACAGTCAGAAGTGTGGGAAGGTGAGAGAATTCACCAGAGCCAGAGCGGGGAGCAGAGCAGGCAGAAGGACCGAAGCACACTGCTGAGGGGAGCAGCAGGTGGCAGGAGAGGTCTGCGCGCCATGAGGGACCCTCCTCCAGTGACCGGGGAGTAGCCAGGGATCGAACTGGCATTGCTGAGGCTGCGGGCAGCTTCGCAACCCAGCGCTCAACTGCTGCGCCACCAGGGAGGCCCAGGACTCTTCTTTAAAATTCAAGAGTTCAGGTTTGCTTCTTCCCTACCAGTTTTTGGCTTTAGGAGAGGTCTATAGACTAGACCATATTTGCCTTTTTAAAGACCTTTCATATTTGGTAAGCAGAACCCTTTGTTTCATTAATGCAAAGAGGATGTTGTTAGAGAATTAGGATAATTTTATTCACAGAGAAAAACACAGAACCATTGTATTTTCATGAGTATTTTTTAAAAACCTTATTTAAAAGAGTAATTATGCTGTCTCAGGATCTGTCGCAATAGCAAGTCAGTTAGCCTCTTAACTCTTAAAACTAAGATAGTTACCAAATTAGCCTTCTAGAAGCCTAAAAATATTTGTACTGTTTATTAATTTATATATTAAAACTTTTCTTGTATTAAACTAATGCATCTCAAACCTTTTAGTATAGGAATTATGTTCAAGATACTTATTTATGCTCTCATTCTTTCTTTCTTAAAAAAGTCCTGTTTAAGATCAAGAAAATGTGGGGCCTACCCGGTGGTGCAGCGGTTG